TGTACGCTACATTATGTTAATTATTGAAAATACATCTTATTCTTATTTCAGAATAACTGTAAATATTAAATGTAAGTAACAAAATAGCTACAATAAAAAATAGCTAAATAAAAAAAATCACATATGAAATCGATTTGCTTATATGGAAAAAATAAATATAAAGTATAAGAAGAGTTTTCTTAAAACGGGTTGACGTAAAAGTTAAAAGTCAGTTGATCACGTATTTGTTTGTTGATTTTTTTTGATTGCTTGTTGATTGATACGAATGGATTGTATCAAATACAAAGCTTGGTGGTTAAATCGACTTCCAATCGATTACTTTCATGTTTATAATGTAAGCACACTTCGGTGCGGAGGACGGAGCGTATTCAATTTGAACGTTTCTTCTTATCGGTCAGTTAAGTGATTTAATAAACAAAATATTTGAGGAGTTCTTGGAAAGGGGTTTTTAATTGAACAAATTTATAAATAAATTTAAACAGCCTTGCGCAAGGATTAGACAGTTATTTAAGACACTCTTAATGGCATCTAAAGTCTTTTTTCAATGTGGTATAGAATTCGCCGTAAATTCCATCCTTTGCATTTGAATTTCCAGTGGAAAAGTGGGAGCATCACCAAAGATACTGAAAGGCATTTACTATAGTCGATTCTTGCGATACCCACTTCACGTAATAACGTAATAAATAGTTTAAAGACATCGTGATTTACATAAATTTACTAAATTATATCAGACTATTAGATATTTGTAGAATTTATTTAATTTTATTCATTTCGCACTTGTCGGTATTACTAATACTGACGATACTTAAAATGATTATGGTGTATTTAGTATTTTCTTCTGGTTGGGTTGTATATAAGTAAATTTTTATAGCTTAACACAAAACATATATGAAATTAAAAAAAAGATAAATAATCTATAATAAAATACATTATATGTAATATAACACCATATATTAAATAAAGCAAAGTAAATAAGTAAATGAAACCTAACTAGATGGAAACCCTAGGCAGTGAAAACCAAACGGCCAATGATTATGGGGAAAGGAAAAGTAAACGGCGGACAAGGCAGTCTGAATCAAGGCATACCGATGTCCGTATTTGAGCCCGGATCTGTCCGTCGCAGAGTCAAAGTTACCTCATATAACCCGAGAAACGGACTAGGATTAATCCGTTAGCATAAACGACGATTTTTTTTATATGAGACGGGGCAAATGAGCATGCGGCTCACCTGATGGTAAGTGACTACCGCTGCCCATGAACAACTGCAATACCAGGGGAATTGCAGATGCGTTGCCGGCCTATTGAAAAAGAGTAGGCTCTTTTATTAAAGATCCCTAATTCGTATCGGTCCGGAAAAATCGCTGGTGATAATCGAGTTTGGCGCGATGTGCGATTGTGAAATTGAGCGGTTGGAATTAGACGAACAATTCCTCAGAGTACTCTCCGTGATAGACGCGATAAAATACGCAAAGAGATACAACATCACTACGCAGTGTCAGTAAGTCAAGCCGATCGGAAAGAATTCGGTTGTCGACGATTCGAACCACTCTGCGCTGGATGTAGTGAAATGGAAGGAGCTGGCACTGGGGATCCCCAGCCCAGAGATAGAAACAATATTCCATGTGAGGCCGAACCTGCGCCTTGCAAAATTGAAAGCGATATGCCGGCATGAAATACTATCCCGCTTTTCTGAGCATGCCAAGTTTTTAGAGGCCAATTTGGCCTTCTCTTCCAAGTGAACACGAAACTGCACGTCACTCGATATGTCGACACCGAGGATTCCGATACTGGCTGAGGTAACAAGGCGAGTGCCTTGAAACGGAGGATATGCGACAAAGGGGTTCTTTTTAGCCGTAAACGCGCAAACTTTTGTCTTCTGGGGATTGAACTGGATTAAGTATAGTCGCCCCCAGTCAGAGACTAATAGCAATGAATGTTACTGGTTTGCAACATATCATTGATATGCAGAAGAAATAGCGTTGGTGATAGCACGCAGCCATGTGGAACACCAGCGTTATGGGCATATAATCGGAGCATGCACCATCTACTAAGACCTTGATGCTCCGACCTGCAAGAAAACTGGTGATCCAATTGCATAATTTCTCGGGAAGCCCATAGGAAGGGAGCTTCGAAAGAAATGCTTTGTGCCAGACTCGATCGAAGGCCTTTGCTATGTCCAAATGAACGGTTAACGCTTCCCCCTTGGACTCCACTGTCTCCACCCATCTATGAGGTAGGTAACCTAGAATATCACCAGTTGACCGACCTCGATGGAATTTGTACTGGCGGTTACTAATCAGCTGGTGATCCCCAAGGTACCGCATGAGATGGAAGTTAATAATGCTTTTCATTGCTTTGGAGAACAAGGAAAAACCGATGTGCTAAAAATGCAGCTTGTGAATCAATTTGTAAAGCGAGTTCGTGAAACTGGATCGTTTTTCGTGCCACGTCATCGTGCCATACAGCCAAAGTAAAAATCGATCTTTTGAGCACTGTTTTTAAAAATCGCATAATCAGCCGGAATGCTGATGTCATTTAGCCTCCTTGAAGCTGTGATTTGACTCCTTTGGACTTTTTTTGTAGGAAGCCGTTAAGGACAAATGTAACACTAACCCTCCAGAGACGTATTCTCTGGAGGGTTACGACTTGAAAAATGAAATCGAAGTTGCCATTGACAAAAAAGAGGCCCAAACAATCGAAAATGTACTAAAAATTGGACCGATCGAATTTAGTGTTGTATTGTAAGGCTAGCCGTGGCAGTCATTTGAATGATGTTGTCTTCCATTCCTAAATGGAAGGATTCAATCTTTACCCTTGAAAAAATATTCATTGGTTTTTTTTTTATAACCGATTCAAATTCCAAATATTAAATGGCGCATCCCATATATAAGTACTAAAAGAAATTCTAAATTTAATTAAATTTATAATCCTCCGCATCTTACACTTTATAAAATATAAAATATCTTTAAAATCATTAACTTGCAGTCAGAAAATAAAGTATTTTGTGATATCGTATACTTGAGTTACTCGAGTAATAGGTTTCCCAATTAATGGGTAAAGTCCTGCCGTTAGTGTAAGCCTTTCACTGCTTTGGAGTGGATTTAAGCGGAATTAATTATCCATTGAAAAGAGTTCACTTTGGAAACCAATCTCTACCATAAAAATTGTTTCATCTTCAAATTATTTCTATGCTTAATTTTATGCTTTGCTCATTATTTAAATCATTTGAACACCTAAAGACTTCTTTTTATAACTATATATAATATAAAGCCTAAAAAATCTAACTATAATTACGTGTTTTGATGGCTGAGTTACCCAGCATTACTAAGCAGAAGTTTGTGTTAAGATGGATTGGAGAAACACCTATTTATACACGATTTAATTCTCTAATTAAGTCGAGTATCACTACGCTTAGCAGAGCAAATGATGAAGGACTATGTAAAAGTTTATGTCATGTGCACTCGTTTTTGTCGTATTAGCATTGGCAATAGATTTTCAAGAGTTGTTTAAATAAGGCACATCCAAAAACTAAGTTAAGTCTGTATACATTAAATAATTTATTACAACTACTATATTAAACTGTAAATTATAGTGTTATTTTTCAAAGATTAGCCAAATTTTAAATTTAAGTTCAAATATATAAATAATGATATATCGTTATTGCAGTTTTTGAGAATGTGAGTAAATACACCTTCTATTTTTATTTGAACTGTCCCAAGTTTAATGTGATTTATGGCCAACAACATTTTTGCTTATCGATTGACCCTTACTTACAAATGTGTGCGTGCGCAGTAAAAGAAGTTAAAATAACGCATTAACATGCATTTTGAATATAAAAGATAAATAATATATTTTATTTTTATTTTTCTTCACCATTTGCCTATATTACTTATTCTTATCCTTCACTGCGAATTTGGCCGGTTATTGCAAAATAACCATGTATAAACATTATATAAAATTCATAAAATCTTGTTATAATTCTAATTAAGAAATTCTGTTATTGAACTATAATACTCAAATATTACTTTCAAATTACTCTAAGAATTTCAATTTATTTCAGTTCATAAAATAAAATTGTATTTCTTAAAAATTAAGTCAATTTGTGACATCTCATTATCGTGTCTTTAGAAAACATGTAGAGATAAGCATAAAGGTTTCATATAAGTTGCCAATGTTTAATATGCTCACAGCATCAATAGATCGCACAACAATATAATTGTATTACGCTATAATTATTCTATTCCTTAAGCTTTATAGGTGTTGGACGATTTCGAATAAATGAGTCAAAATGAAAATAAAAGCGCAGTGTTGAATTTAATAGTGTAGAAGTATAGTGAATTGAGTTAGTTGACATCTGAAACGACCAATCAAACATTCTATCACAGTAAAGGCAAGCCGTGAAGTAGATCCATTATTTACGAATTTTTTGAGCTTAACTAAAATTGTAAAAGTACTAGCTGTATGTAAAAGAGTTTTAAGGTGGAAGCTACCTAGAGATCAGAGAAAGTTTCTTAAATTTGTTACTGCAAAAGAAATGGACAAATCTCTTCAGTGTTGTGTCAAACATAGTCAGAATTTTTTTATAAAGGATCTTCAAATGATAAAAAACAAGGACACGTTGCCAAAAACAACCTTCACTCTCTTAGCCCAATTCTTGATGAAAATGGGATGTGAAGAGTTGGTGGTCGCATTCACCGTGCTCAAGTGGACTATGGCACCCGATAATTATGCCTAGTGAAATTCGTATTAGTAAATTAATAATATTGGACGCTTATATGAAGACATTGCATGGTGGGCCACAAATCATGTTAAATTTTATACGATCTAAAAACTGGATAATCCGTGCAAGAATGCTGGTTAAAATGTGCTACTGAAAATGTATGAAATGCTTAAGATACTCCAGGCAAGACAATAACCAGTTTTTCTTCTTCTTTAGTTATAAATTTTCCTTTAGTCTGCTTATATTGAGTCGTCTTTCCTTGCAGCTACAACGGACCATGCTACCACAAGTTATTACCAAGAATACGGTTTACGGACATACTTCTTGACGCACCGTCTGCTGGATTATCGTTTGTAATGACATGACCCCACTTATCTTTGTCTATCATAGTCAAAATCTCTGAGACTCGGTTGCTTACGAATGTTGTCCATCTGCTGGGCTCACCATTGATCCATGACAACACCACAGTAGAATCAGACCAGGCATATAGATTTTCTTTCGGTATTTTCATTATGTGTGATATTTCGTATATCAATTTAGTAGCTAGCAATACAGCACACAGCTCTTGTCGAGGAATTGCTACTCCCTTGCTAATTGAAAAAACTATAGTTTTGGCTGACACTAAATTAACGCACACATGACCATTATTGTCAACTGACTTCAAATAAACTGCCGCTGCATAGGCTGCTTGTGATGCCTCAGCAAATACATGCAACTCTATTTTATCTTCCTTTCTAGTATTTACCCATCTGGGTATAACATACCTCTCTACCTTAGCGAGATAGCTTTCGAATTCTAACCATTCCTTCATTAGGCTTTCTGTTAGTGCTTCAACTTAAACCAGATTTCCATAATTTTTGAATATAAATTTTTGCCGTCACAATAATTGGCGCTATCCATCCTAGGGGATCGTATAATCATGCTATTTTTGATAGCACATGTCTCTTTGTCATTGATTCAGGTAAATCCGATAATTTTAAGACTTATTCAAAACAGTCCGTTGTCCGATTCCATCTTATGCCGAGCACCTTTATCATATCATTATTAGTTATGAAAACTAAATTTTCTGATCCTTTACTTTCTTCTTCAATATATTATAATAAAGCTTGAGAGTTCGTGTTCCATTTCTGCAGTATAAAACCGCCAATCCTCATCAATTTAACGATTTGGTCATCAATTATTTTTGCTTCATCAATAGATTCGCAACCAGTAAGTAAATCGTCCACATAATAATCATATAATGCTATTTGGCCGCTAGTGGATATTTCGATTGTTTGTCTATAGCCAGCTATTGAATAGATTTCATAGCCAAGTATGGGGCACAAGTAGTTCCAAAGGTAAGTCGCAATAGCTTGTAATGTTGTATAGATTGATCAGTATTTGGTCTCCACAAAATTCTCTGAAAGTCAGTGTCTTCGTCATTTACACCTACTTGGCGGTACATTTGCTTTATGTCAGCTACTATACATATTGGATGTAGACGCCACCTCATCAGAATGTGACGGAGATCCTGCTGAAGTTTAGGGCCGACAAGTAAGTTATCATTTAAAAATATGTTGTTAACACTTTTGCAGGATGCATCATATACAATTCGAAATTTGTAGTTTCTTTGTTTTCGCGAATTATTGGATGATGAGGTAATTACATTGATTTTTCTTTATGTATTTCATGCTTACTTTTAATTATGATCATATGGTTTTGTATCAGATAATTGTTTATTTCTTTTTTATATTCTTCATACAGTTTCGGTGATTGTACTGTAGCTTCGGATACAAAAGATGCTTCAGAGCCTTGATCAATCAATTATATTATTATTTGTGAGGAGCCTTTTGTTGATTTGACTTTGGCAATTGCTGTAGCCAGTAAAACGTTAATTTCAGTCTCTTTCTTTGCAAAATGGGCTACCAACTTCTTCTCAACTTCCGATTGATTTGTTAATTCTTGTTTTTGACACGTTTTAGGGCTCTTGTTCATGTTGATATTGGAGTCGTTGAATCTGTCAATATGGAGCAATGTGATGCAATTTGCCACATCGTCGATAGCATGTGGCTTGATGGCACTGTCTTACATTTTGAGTAGGTGATAAACAATTGAAGCAGAGTTTTTGTGACTAGATAAATTCAATTCTTTCGGTCGGAGATTGCTTTCCAAACTGTTTACATTGATATAGTAAATGCTGTCCTGAGCACATCGTACAATTGTTACTCAATACCTTTCTTTCTATTGAGATAATTGCATGACACGATTTTTGTTTATGCCTTTGTTTGAGGTTGCGACTATTGGACATTCTTGTGATATTTTACCCTGTATCAATCATTTCAAGTACTCGGAATATGGACTCAAGAAAATTTGCTAGATGATTCCTGGACGGTAATTTCTCAGATTATATTTGGCAGACTTGTAGCTCCCACAGCCTTCTCGATTCATGATCTAATTTTGTTAAAACCAAGTGATTTATGATGAATTCCAAGTCTGACACTTTAACTTTGATATTGCTTAAGGCTTTTAAACATGAGTTTGTTGTACCCAGTAATAGCTAAACACCGTTAGCCGATTCATGTATTAATGACCTTTGCGAAAATACTCGCTTCATACTTTCATTGCAACTATATCTTTTGTTTTGATTGTTGAGGTATTTCTGTGATAGAAAACTTATAGAAAACTTTTCTTGTAGAGCGTTTGCTCGTAAAATGTCTTTTAGTTTTGTTTTATACTCTATATACATTTCCTTCAACTGTATAAATATATGTCGATTTGAAATAGTCAATGTTGTCCTTTTCCTCCCTTTGAACTGTCTATAATATTGGTGCATGTAATATTAATGCAGTTAAAAAAATAATATTTAACCTCTATAGATTTAATAATCTTGCTTCAATATAATCCAGCGGTATTTTTTCGTAAGGCTATTTTTTTATGATTTGCAAAACCTCTTTTAACATGATCCAAGTTGTCTTCCTGGTTTAAAATAAGTGATTTCATTTTGTTATAAGGCTGTCTTACCAAGTTTATCCGTTCAAGAAATTTAAAAACTTTATGTCACACTCAGCTTAGATCTTGAATGTCACCACCGTCGATAATGAATTCCAGAGTTCACTGCTAAATAACACTTGTCATTGTTTACGCACTCTAGTCACGATTATGTCCAGTTCCCGGGTTTCGGCACCAGATGTCGACTAACTCAATTCACTATATTTCTACACTTTTAAATTAAATACTGCACTTTTATTTTCATTTTGACTCGTTTATTCGAAATCATCCAATACGACTACAGAACCAAAGAGCAAAACCTATCCAACCACAGAGAGGTATAAGACAGGGTAACGTAATATCCCCGAAGCTCTTCACCGCTGCATTGGAAGATATTTTCATACTACTGGACTGGAAAGGATACGGTATTAACGTCAATGGCGAGTACATCACTCACCTTCGATTTGCCGACGATATAGTCCTTATGGCAGAATGGCTGGAGGACCTAAGCACTATGCTCAATGACCTCAATAGTGTTTCCCAACGGATAGTTCTTAAGATGGACATGGACAAAACAAAGATCATGTTTAATGTCCATGTCACACCTATGCCGGTAGTTATTAAGAGCACTAAGCTCGAAGTTGTTGACAAATATGTTTATCTGGGACAAATTGATTCAACTCGGCTGGGCAGATTACGACACATCTTCTCGTTAGACATACCTTAAAACCTCAAAACTAGATTGTTTAACCAGTGCGTGTTGCCAGTGATGACCTATGGAACTGAGACGTGGTCCTTCACTGCTGGCCATATGAAGAAGCTCAAAGTCGCTCAGCGAGCTATGGAGAGAGCTATGCTCGGCGTTTCTCTGCGTGATAGACTTAAAAACGAGAATATCCGCAGTAGAACCAAATTAACCGACATACCCAGTGGAGAAGAAAGGTTTTCGAGTGGTAGCCTCGTACTGGCAGGCGAAGTGTAAGACGTCACCCCGCTAGATGGAGTGACGACCTGGTAGGACGTGCAGGAAGTCAATGGATGTAGGTGGCTCGGGACCGTGCTTTGTGGCATTCCTTGGCCTATGTTTAGCAGTAGACTTGTGAAGGGCTGTAATGATGGTGTTGATAATGGTGATGATGATCATTAGTTGATAGCCCATTTGGATGTCAATGTTTCATCACATACTGTCACTGACAGGCCTGTTGGTCTAGTGGTTAGTGACCCTGACTGCTATGCCGGAGGTCGTGGGTTCGATTCCCACCCAGGACAAATGTTTGTGTGATGAACACGATCATTTGCTGTCTGGGTGTAATTTATCTATAATATTTATGTATTTAGAAATATATAAGTATGTTTATCAGTTGTCTAGTACCCATAACACAAGCTCTGCTTAGCTTGGGACTAGATGGCGTTGTGTGATAGTTGTGGAATATTATTATTATTATTATATTATACTATGCTAAAGATATCAAAGTAGCAGTTTACGGAATATGAAAAAAAAATATTTGTGCTTTTTTTTCGCATGTACTTGCAACACTAATTTATTATCTAATATCATTAGGTGATAATCCACTCTGATGTCAATATTTTAATTACATATTCTGTTAAAGATGTCAAAGTAGCAGTTAGTGATATGAAAAAGGAGAAAAATATATTTTTTCCCAATCATTTTGCGTATATCGACAGCACTAAATGGGCACTTAATTATTGATGCTTCTATTTGGTACTGTATTAAGCGGTTATCGGTTTAAGTGATACAACACTGCTAGGTTAATTAAAAGCGAGCAGTTTTCTAATTTTTGATTAAGATATTTTGGCGTGAAATTTAATTTTGCAGCACTAAATTAGCACTAAATGAGCACTTAATATTTAACAACTTTTTTGTGAATTTGCTTAAATGATCGTTCCTGCTTCATACACGTCAAGTTTTAGTCGTTGTAGCGGTCTAATTGCGAATTTATTTAATATACTTATCAAGAAGGCCCCTTCAAAACTTACGTTTTTTGACGGGCAACTACAGAACCCTTCATTGTGAGTAGCCCTACACGTAGTTGGGCGGTTTTTTTAAATTTTATTTTCATTTAATATTTCAATTCATCTTGTTTCTTTAATATAGTCAAATTTATGTTTTAACATTGTACCCCGACGATATTATTCTGATTATAAAAGTAATTATTAAAATTAAAAGTAATTATTGTTATAACTGTGTCGCTCTCATATTACATATTCTGATGTACTTTGGTAATTTGGGGATAACTGTAATTGCCTGTTTTTTTGTAAAATTAGGATGACAGACGAGCACACAGTCCACCTGATGGTAAGTGGATGCTGTAGCCCATAGACACCTATATCTACCTTCCACACCTAAGAATCAAAATGCAGATGCACTGTCACCCCCTGAGGACTAAGATGTAATGCCTCGTTTCCAGTTAAAGTGTATCCGTTTCTCTACACTCACCATACGAAAGCATTGAGCTGTTATTTTACGCTGGTATTCTATGAGAGCGTAGTTTTACCCCGGTCGAGCCTACCCATTCATGCCACAACTATAATATAGCTGTTGCATGGCTCTACCAGGTACGAAAAAACTATTTCATGTAACTTCCACTATATTTAAATACAAAAACCTGTATACATTTTTTCATTTTACCAGTTTTATAAGTACATTATTTATTTTGTTATGGTGTTATTATCCCCAATATAAAATAAATAAAATATATTATAACGGTGCCCTTTGTATAGTTATTGTTAGGTATAATCAGGTATAAGGTATATAAATATATCTGACGAAGCGCGTTGAGTGATCTTGAATGACACTGACAAGTACCTTCATATACCAGCGAA